ATTGTCGTTCAAGAATTTCAAAAATTGATATTGCAGCAATTTTGGCTTTCGCGATATTTGGTGCAAAGGTGCTTTAAGTCGATAATTAGTGATTTAGTAATTCATTATTATAAAAGTTATTAATAGAAAAATGCATAAATAAAATAAAATTGAGAAATTACTCACCTAGCTTGTCCAACTCCCATTGCCATGAATAAAATAGGAAAAAATGCTGAAGGGAAAAAAATTATGGTGAATATTAACAAAATATTTAAAATGTTTCTAATTTTATCTACCAACCTTTTAGCATTTCCATTGGAGTATACTCTCCTCTAGCAATTAATTCTCCACCATACCTTTATAAAAAGTTTATAAACGATAATATAATTCCATAATATTAAAATAACAAATGTAATTAAAGATAAATAAGATAAATACCAAAATGCTAAAGCATAAATGAAAAATAATGCCCCTTGAGCAAATCCAAAACCAAGAGATGATATCATGATTCCTTTCAAAGCAATTTTATGAGGACTCATAATTGCAGTTTGATAAAATTTAAAAAAAGTTTTTTCAAGAGTTAAAGATGCAATTGTTCTAAAAAATCAAAGTATAAAAATTTAATATTTAACATTTATTATATTTATTAAATTTAAAAGTATCATTGTAATCATTACCTAATATGAGAGACACTTTGTTGAACTATTTCATTACTTTCTTCACATGCTTTTCGTGTCTAGATAAAAACAAAAAAAATACATTAACGAAAAAAATATAATTATTGAAATAATTACAAATAATTAATTTTCAAATAAAAATACCTTTTCACCAAAACCAGCAACAGAACTCATTTGAAGTCTTGATGAAATAACAAAAAGTGGTACTGTAGCCAGAACGACCAATGTCAACTTCCAACCAAAAATAAAAGCTATAATCTAATTTTATTAATAATATTTTAGTAAAGAGATTTTTGTTTGAAAATCAAAAAATTAGATAAAATTCCCACCAAACCAGAAGTAAAACTAGTTAATGAATAGAAAATGTTGCCCATTAATAAGCCAGTTAATCCATCCACCTTTGTAGCATCCACTGCTAATTTTGATGTTAAAACTCCTGTGCTATTTTTTTCATCATCAAAATATCCAATTTCTTGCTTAAGTAATGCTGTAAATGTCATAACTCTAAGACGCCATGTGAGTTTTTCTCCAACAAAAGCAAAGAAAAATGAATGGCCAAAGTTACCAACAGCAGAAGCTATGGCCAGAATCAAAAACATTAATGACCAGAAGTTTGAATCTCTACGTAATTCTTCTCGGCTAAAATTTAAATGAAAATTAATAATTATATTAATAAGCAAAAACAATAAAATAAAAAAATAAAAAAATAAATTCTTACTCAGTTTTGGAAAATGAATTTAATATATTTACTAACAGAATTGAAAACATAGGAAAAATTAAACCACTGATAACAGAGCCAATTAAACCCGTGAATAATAATGAATATTCTGGCTTTTGAAGTTTGAGGATTTTCCCAAAATTGTCTCCCTTCTCTTCTAAACTTTTCAATGATCTATCTGTTGAATCTTTTGTAGTCATTCCGCGTAAATTGGCACTTTTATCTTTTTCTTCAAATTCTATTTTCTTATCCGAATCATCTTGTGTTATATCAGCTTCATCCTCAGATTGGGAAGAAACTTCAATTTCTTCCACATCATTATCAGATTGGGAAGAAACTTCAATTTCTTCCACATCATTATCTTGGACTTTTAATTCTTGTGCTTGAACTAAGTCATAATAAGCACCATGTTTCGCAAGTAATTCTTCATGGTTCCCAATTTCTACAATTTCACCTTGATTCATCACCACAATTTTATCCGCGTTTTTAACAGTAGATAGTCGATGCGCAATGACTATTGATGTAAAACTTTTTGAAGCTGTGGCTTTATCAAGAGCCTCCTGAACGAGATGTTCGGATTCGGTATCAAGAGCTGATGTTGCTTCATCTAATAATAATATAGATGGGTTCTTTATTATTGCACGTGCAATAGCAATTCTAATGAAATATAAATTTTTAAATATTATAAATATAAAAATTTGCATTTGACAACAATTTAACAAAACAAAAAAAAGTACTATAATTACCTTTGTTTCTGTCCTCCAGACAATAAAGAACCTTTATCTCCGACTTCTGTGTCATAAGATTTTGGTAAATCCTTAATAAATTCATGTGCATTAGATTTTTTGCACGCTTCAATTACTTCATCTAAACTTGGTTTTTTGTCATCTGAAATTTCACCCCACGCAACATTCTCTCTAATACTTTTCGGGAAAAGTACAGGCTCTTGTCCCACAAGACCAATTTGAGATCTTAACGATTTAACATTAATTTTTTCGATATCTTCTCCATCAAGAAGAATCGATCCATTAGTTGGATTATAGAATCTTTCTAATAGGGCAACTATAGTTGATTTTCCAGATCCTGAACTACCAACTAAAGCAACTGTTTCTCCAGAATCAATTGTTAAGTTAAAGTTTTTTAATATTTGAATATCTGGACGAGATGGATAAAAGAAGTCTATATTTTTGAATTCTAGGCGTCCCTTGACAGAGTTTTTATCAAGAATGATTCCAGTCTTTGAATCTGAATCTATTGCTGAAAAACGATCAATAATATTGAAAAGATTGTAAGCAGCCCCACGAGCATTGGCAATTGCTGTAAAGCTTGGACTTGCGGAGCCAAATAAATATGCTGTAATGCAAAAAATTAAGTAGATACTTCAGAAATGTTGCTTGTAAATTAAAAAGTTAATACTGAATACTTACCACCAGTGACAACCGCCAACACAACATTATATACTTCTCCAGAGGTCATCTTTCCATTATAAACTAAAGTACTACCGTACCAGTATGCCAACGCGAGAATCCCAAAAAAGGCAAAATTTATAAAGCCGAAACTTAAACCAGTAGATAATGCCTTCTTTTTCCCAATTGTATAAGCACCTTTTAATTTTTGGCTATAACGAGCAATTTCACGCTGTTCACCTAATATTTTAATTAACAATTTAAACAATTGATCAATTTCCGGAATAAGAATATTTAAGATATTTAGAATAAAGCTAATATTTTAAAGTACCTCCAAAGGCTATCACTGTTCGAATGCCAGAAAGTACCTGCTCAGCTACATTGCCTGCTTCTGCGTAAACCTCTTTGTAATATTAAAATGAAATGATTTATATGATTTATATAATTTATGTAAACAATAATAAAATGTGATTTAAATTATGTATTTACCTTGTCCCTTTTTTGTTGAATCTTCGACAACGTATGCAAATAGAGCAGCGGCCGCAATTAGTAACGGCAATGTACTATCATTTGGGTTAAAATTCGTTAGAAATAAATTTTTTTTTAAAATTATATCATCTAACTTAATTAATTACCTGCATATGACAAGAGTAAGTTTCCATTCTAAATTCATAAATCCATGAAAAAGTTAATATCATATTACATAAATTAATAAGTTATCTTCTTCAAACTTTACCTTTTGTGAATCCAATTACAAATCCCCCAATAAATGATGCAAGGCTTTGAACAACTAATCCAACCTTTTCAGAAATACCATCTTTTAAATAGTAATAAAAAATGTAAATTTCCATAAACTTTAGTAATTGATTTTTTATAAACACAAACCTTGGAATAAACTTGCATCTGAGGATATACGATTTGTAATTTGTCCTGTTGAAGTCGATTCAAAGAAAGCAATTTCTTGACGAAGGATTGATTCATAATATAACCGACGAAGTCGCTATATATATATTTATATATTATTTATATGTTGATTTATTTATTTATTTGTTTATCTGAAAAATATTTACTGCGATAAATACCATCACTTGTCTTTCCCCTGCAACCATCCAAAGTGTTATCTGTAAGTAGGAAAATATTGATACTGCCCCTCCAATAGCAAGAAAATATATGGTTTGTTTTAGTATATCTCTTTTCAATTCATCTTTAGCATCTTCTGTTACTGCATTTGCTGATAATAAAACCCCGTAACGAAGCAAAGCATCTAAAGCATTACCAATAATTATTGTTTGATAAGGAAATGCTGCTCCATTTGCGGCAGCACATATGCTACCCACAAACATCATCAATATATCAAGAAATGTAGCATAACGAAATAATTGAAAAAAACCAACTGCATTAGTCGTTTTATCTTTATTATTAGAATCTTTTGTTCCAATATTTTTGTTTTGAGATGATTTTTCATCATTATTCACATTATTCCAAGTCATTTTTTCACACAATTGAGAATTGTTTGATTAATTTGAATTCAATTCGTGAGTTTTTACAAAATTTCAATTTGGTACACGTATTAAATCGATAAATAAGAAAAATACGTGTTTTGTAAATATAATAATCAATACGAGAAAATGTGTCTAAATTACGAGTACAATTTATAAATTATGCACTCATTGCGAGACATTATTCTTTGAATGAAAAAGAAAAAGTCCAATTCATGATAATTTCAAAGTCTACAGGCGGAACCTCTATAATAGGAACTTGATTATAGTAAATTTTGATTGAAAAAGATTTCCAATGATTTCTGATATTTTGTATGCCATCAACAATAATTCTATATAACTACGTGAATAACTTTCTTGAATTATGATTGGCTATAAATACAAGAAAATTGAGAAAAATGAATCTGATCATTGAAATTTTCCAAGTTCCTATTTATTTTTTTTGGTAATAGTAATATATATGTTTGCCGATTTGCACTTTTACGTCATGACTTTAATATAATGATAATTACCAATTCCTTTTAAATTAAGAAACTGATAATTTATAATAAGTATGAATTTCCTTTTTTAGATTTTCACATGATATCAAGCATGGATCTAATAAGTATGCATATCAATTATAGCATATTTGCAGAATTGACTCACCATGAAAGTGGTTGTTTTTTTTTTCAAAAATTTCGTTTCTTATCGGTTATCTTAAATCATGGATTTGTACTCAATTATGAATTTTATTTATTTTGTTAGAAATCTCTCAGCCGCGATTTACGTTCAAATTGCCTTTTGATTAAACTAAAACAAATGAATTTTCTTATTGATTGTGGGATAATCACAACTGATTTTTTGAATTTTTCGCCACGAGATAATTTGAGTTCTCGTACTCAACCTCTAACATCAATATCAACAGAAATTGATGGTATTAATAACGATTTAGGATGGAGTCAAAATGAAGCCAAACGTATTAAACTTGATCCATCGATCGAACCAAATGGTGTTAATGCACGTAGGATACGCGGACAATTTCTTGTAGAGGCACCAGAATTCTCTGGAATAGATTGGAGTACTATAGATTTTATTTTAATTACAAATTATAAACAAATTCTTGCATTACCTTATGTTACTGAGTATACAGATTTTAGAGGCAAGATTTATGCTACGGAACCTACTGTTATATTTGGATGGTAACTGTTAAATGTGTGTTTTTTTTTCTCTGGATCTTTATAATTATTGCTTAATTCAAAAGAATAATATTTAAAATATTAATTAAAATGTCTTTAAGTCAGCTCATGAAAGAATTTGTGCATTTATTTGGTGAAAGCACCATGTCTTCTTCCATGAATGGAATGGAGAAATTTAGAAGTCTTTCAACTAGAGGGTACAATACAACCATTTTAATTTTTTCCTTTCATTAAATAAAATGATTAAAGTGAATATTATAAAATTATATATTAATTTAATTTAATTTAATACTTAGAACTTCTGATATTTTTACGGGATTTACTCCTGAAATGAATCTGGTACGATCATTGTATTCTTTAGACGATGTACAAAACTGTGTAGACAAAATACAACAAGTTAGATATGAAGAAATATTGGTTAGTCAATCAAAAATTCATTATTAAAATAAAAAATATAATTATTATATTTATCTAGATATAATTTATTTATTTTTTTTTTCAATATATTTAAATACTATATAGATTTTATTTGAACTTCAAATTACAGCTCATAGCTCAGGATATTGTTTGGGTGGGACAAATTGGCTAATAGATATTGAATCTGAGAAGGTAACTTTATGGAATAATTCTTTATATATTTTTTATATTCTATTACTAAGCAACTTTGTCATTGGTAGATTGCTGTAATTTCTTCATCATCTACAATAGCAAATTTACATCCATTACCATTTAGCAAGAGTGTTTTAGATAATGTTAGTATTGTCATTCTAAATAATTTACACAATAGTAAAGATAATTTAAGATTGGAATCCACTTTTCAAAACATTGGGAAAATAGTTGGTTTGTCTTTTGTAATTTTTCACAATATTTTTATGTGATTTGTTTATTTTATATTTGATTTTTTATTTATAATAATATATATTAATTATGTTAATTATTAGCAAAGGTTTTAAGGGATAAGGGAAATGTTTTATTTCCTTGTACTATGAATGGCATTATGTTTGACATAATTGATATTCTTGGAAAACATTTGAATGCAGTTGGCCTTGGTAATATACCATTTTATGCAATTTCTCCTATTGCAGAGGAGTCCCTCAAGTTTTCAAATATATCGGGAGAATGGTATTTTATATAATGAAATAAAAAATAATGTTTTGATTATTATTGATTATTCAGAAAATTAATTGTTTATCAATTTTTATTTTTCAGGATGTGTGAAGAAAGACAGCAGAAAATGTATATGCCGGAAAATCCAATGGCTCATAAAGATATGATAGATCGAAACCTTTTGTTTTATGCTGCTCGGGCAGATAGTTCACTTCAGGAAATATACCATGAGCCTTGTGTTGTGTTTGCAGGTCATCCATCTTTACGTAGTGGAGCAACAATTAATTTTATTCGAAAATGGGGTAATAATCCAAAAAATTGCATTATTTTCACAGGTTAGATAACTTTTTTAGAACAATAATATTTATTTATTATTAAAGGCCTTCATTAATGATAATAATAATAATGATCCTGTTTTATTCATTTAGAATCGGAATATGATTATAAAGAAGCAATTTCAGCATTTGAAGATTTACAAATAATGACAGAATATATTCCAATTGATATACGTTTAACTGTAGAAGAAGCAACTAATATCTTACAAGAATTGAAACCTCGACAGGTTTTGTTTCCTCGTGAGATTGTAGAGGATATAAATAGTATACAACAGCTTTTGTCATCATCATTGGTCACTTTATATGGTCATTTAAATATTTTAAATATAGCTATTAATTCTCAATATACGAGACTTTACATGAGTGCTGCAGTAAGTATTTTAAATATTACTGAGTTATTATCTTTTATATTTTATTATGATTGACCTTTAATAAAGTTGTTTTTACTCATTTAGCTTGCATCAGAGATTTACCCCATAAATGTTGGCCAATCAAAACTTGCTGTTGTGAAGGCAAAATTAAGAAAAGCAAGAAAAGAAGATGCATTAATTCCTAGCGATGAGAGTAATTTGTTAAAATCTAAATATTTTTGGGGAAAGATTAATATTCTGGAATTAATGAATCAGTTGAATCAACAAATAGTAAGCTATTAAAATAAAACATTATATATAATAAATATAACAAAAATATAATCTTTATTTTATGAACGTATTTCAATTTATTTAATTTATTTAATTAAAAAATTTAAATCTTTTATTTGTTATACAGTATGGATGTAGAGTTTCACTTGAACAAGATATGGACAATTCAAAATGGACTGTATATGTTGAATCACCAAAAATTATTATTAAAATAAATAACAATAAATTAATTATAAAGACTGAAGACAATGACACCAGGAAGATAGTACAAGATATTTTGTTTAAACAATTGGTTGTATTATGATAAATTATTAATAGAATTATCAAACAATTTATAGTTATGTATATTTTTAGATTGAATTTTTTTTTTAAAAAAAAAAATAAAAAATAATGTGGCTAGTGCTTTAAATTTTTCATTAAAATTATTAAAATTAACAAATTTATTAATAATGTATTTAAGGAATTTCTAGGTAATTGATAAGTAATATTATATGAAAAATTTCAATATATCAATATCTAAATAGTCAAGGCACTTATCTTTTGTTGTAAATAAATCAGATTGAAGTAACCATTTATAAGTAATGTTTATATCTGTTTGTGTTAATTCTTTGTAATAATGTTCTATATTATTGATCACATTGATTCCAGCATATAGACATTTATATATAATTTTTGTTGATTTTTCAAAAATTTATTGAACTTTTTCTTTAAGTTTTTGATCATCTTTGTTTGAACCTTTTTTTGATATCACTAAGAAAGTTCCTAAAATAATTAGATTAGCACCAAACCACCATTGAAGTGACAATGTTTCATTAAAGATAATATTACCCATAATTGCCTAAATGATAAAAATATATTGAAATTAGCATTTTAATTACATTTTATTATCAGATTTTGTTAATAGAAATAACTTACTGTCATACAGAAATTAGTTGCACTATTTAACACTGTGACTCGAATTGAAGATGAAGATTTATTTAATGCTTTTGTAAAAAAAGTCCACATTAAAGCATTACACATAGAAATTAACAAGAAACATATGATTCGTATAATTCCTATAAGATAAATTATCTGTTTCACGATCATTAAATTAAATAAACGAAAAAGTTGAATATATAAATATATATGTATATCTTTAAATTAAATTTACAAAACGTACATTTTCACTTGTATTATCATCATTTCGTTCGATTTCTTTGCAATTCAAAAATTGAAAATTTTGAAAATGATTCAATAAATCACAAAAATATCGAGTGATAAGTACTGTACGAGTATCTGTAAAAAGTTTTGCAAACACAGACGCAAGTGCTGCAAAGGTTCCGGATAGTATTGAATAAAGAATGAAAGACATTATTAAAGAGTTTGGTGTCGTATAAAAATTACTGAAATTTATAAAAGACGTGTCACACAAAATTTACGATTACGATTTATTTTATTATTATTATTGAGCTTACTGAAATCACATGGCACATTTCACTTAGAATATACATATTTACAAGCGGTGATTTTATTCTTTAAATAGAGAATAAAAAGTGCAAAGTTCGATCAAAGTTTATTATAAGAATAAATTAATATAAAAAAAAAAAGAAATGCTATTCATTAAAATTAAAATTAAATAAAAAAAAATTATTCATAATTTTCGCGTAACGATATAATCAGTCTTTATTCACAATCTATTAATTATATGTGAAGCCATAAATTTTTAATCTTCTAAACTTCTTACTAAATCCCAGAACTTCATATAAGAAATGTTTGATACAAAAAAAAAGGACCCGCCATATATATAAAAAATGTAATATTATACAATGATTATAAAAATAATGAAAAAAAAAAAATTCAAACAATGGCACGTATTGTCTTTCTATTTCAAATATGAAAAACTTTCCCTAAAATAATTCAAAAAAATAATTCATCTGCTGTGCCATTAAAAAAAAAAATTTACAAAAAATATTTTGGATTAAATAAAATTGGCAAAATTAAAAAAAAAAAAAAAAAAGAAAAAGAAAAAGAAAAAGAAAAAGAGATTATAGATGTCATAGATCTACTACAAACCCTACAACTCTTATTTTACTATGATGCTTATTGTTGAGTATCTAAAATACCTTTTGCTACTATATCTACTTTAACCTCTGCATTACCCTGCGGAGATTGTATTGTGACAACTCCTTTTACTTCTCCTTCAACTCTTGGTTGAAATCTTACAGGAATTATGGAAAATCCGCCTGGTTTTATTACAACGCTATTCATAGGAAGTGACAATATAAATTTGCCTCCAGGGCCCGCTGTTGTCTCACATTTACATATTAATCTTATTGCCTCTTTTGCAACATTAGATATTTTGATTCCCAAAGATCGTTGTTTACCAATTCTGGTAGATGGTATCTTAATTGTTGTTTCATCAACTTCAAATTTTATTTCCTTTGGTTGAGAAGCTTTGTGTTTTTTTAAAAGTGCATTAAATGTATTTTCCGTTGCTATTCCTTGAAATTTCATGCTTACAGAATCTACAGCTGATCCTCCACCATCTGTTGTTCCTTCTAAAACATATGTTTGACTATATGTCCCAACTCCTAAAGGACGAAATTTGACATCAACTCGTTCAGCATGTTTTGGTCTTAAAAATCCTCTTGGTTTGGTAACCACAAAAATATCATCTTCCACTTTTTGAGCAGCATTCGTTGCTGTCCCTAATCGACGAAACATTGATTTAGCTGCTGGAATAAGAGACCAAGATATTGGATTTTCTAATGGATTAAATATATGAAATACTCCAATAGATATTTCACGAATATTTGCTGATGGAAAATTAATTTCACCCGGAATTCCGAGATGTATAAAATTACTACTAGTTAAAGGTTCTTTCAATGGCTTCATTTCATAATTGTCGTTATCATTAAGAAGAGAATTTTGAATACTTTTACGTTTTGATCCATCAAGCTCTGGAGTATTTGACCTACTTCTTGAAGGTGTACGAGAACCAGTAAGCGTCGAAGGTGAATTATTATTATTACTTCGAGATAACCTTTTATTGATATCAGGTGTATGTGGTCTGCTATTAGAATTTAATTTTGATTTGAAACTATTTTGTTTAAAATTTTTATCACTATTTGGTGTATTTGGCCTACTACTATTACTTCCTGAAGGTGATATAGATGATGGTGATTCAACTATATTTCCAGAGTCAACAGCTGTTTTATCAGTATCAGGTGTATTTGGTCGAGTAATAATAGTAGGTATTTTTTTTTCAGGGTTTAGTGTTATACTCTTCTTCTCGGGCTCGGAGGAATTTAAACTGGGGCTATTGGTTAAAGGTATGGGTACCCCAGAACTATCTTCATCGCTTTCTGTTATAGTAGGAAGGTTTGCAAAAACCGGCTGGATAGCCAAAAAATCATTTGTATCAAAACTTTTATCAACTGGTTTAACTACGTCTAAAGACATTTTGTAAAAAATTAAAAATAAAAAATTTTGAATATATTTTAGAAAAATGCAGTTTATTGAATTTATGCATCCTTGTCTGGTATATAATTGTACAACACTGAAGGCTCACTGTTTCACGTGGTAACGTGTATTTTTGGGTATAAAGAAATGTAGAAAAGTCAATATGTAAAGATTTGGATCTATTTAATACTTTTAAGTCTTGTCATTCTTTACCAAATAAATGTAAACACAAAAAATGCAAACACAGAAAATTGTATAAGTAAATATTTCTTAAATTATAAACACGAAACGTAAAGGATTTAAAGAAAAATATATATATATAAATTATATTAGTTTTCTTATATGCACCTTTTGCCGCTTTTTTATTATTATTATTATTGTGGGCAGTTAAAGTTAGACTCACAAATAGTGACACAGTTTCGCATAATTAATGTATACAAAAAAAATTTTGAATTTTAATAATTTTTTGATCTTAGATAAAATATTATGTATAAAATGTATTTAATTTTTAAATCAAATCATTACACAACACACATATCAAGTGACCTTGAGAAATAGAAATGCTAATTAATTGATTTTCCTCTTTCTTTCCAAAAACTTTTTCCATAGCTGACCACGATTTCTTCTCCTTTTTTAATTTTTCCCACTCCTGGAATTACCCAAACTCCCATTTTCACCTTCCCACTATGCGAATCAATATATTCATGAAAGACAACATTTGGTTTAGGACGAATACCTCGATAATCATTAATAAATCTTGCTTCACTTCCTTTCCTCCAACCGTCAATACAAAATTGTTGGTTAAATCCCAATTCATAATCACTACCTTTTTCACCACCTTCAATTCTTGTTGTTACTTTACCTGTATATTTTAAAATGAGACTATACTCTTTAAGGTCTTTTACAGCAAATAATCCATTCTCCGGATAAGCCGGATGACCTTTTTGTGATGCTAATGATTTTATCTTTACAAATGGACTTGGCATTACTGGATCAATTGAGGTGGGAAGTAAAAGTGAAGAAGTAAACGGATGATATGGATGATCTTTTGATAATGGAAGTTTATATGGAGGTGATTCCAAAGAAATTGGTTCAAAAACGTTATCAATTAAATATACAATTTCCGATGGCCACGATTTTGGGATCTTTTTGGACAAATTTTTGCTCATGTTGGGGTTGCGTGATATACTTTTTTTGGGGAAGATTTTCGTGACCCGAAATGGAAAAAAAGTTCAAAAATAAAGAAGAATAGAGGCATTTATATAATTTTTGAAAAAAAAATCTCATCCAATATAAATTTGTGGATTATCAAATTACAATTATCGGTTCACTAAAATTTTTTTTTAGAAATAGCAAATTTTTTTACTATTATTTTATTCGGCAGAGTCACGTTGGCATCACGGATGTCAACTTAAGGCCGCAAAAATGTAAAGGAAGCATAATTTTTAAAGCATGAAAGGATATGATAATTTTTTTTATGATTCACACATATGACGAAAATTAATTTTATCAAGATTAAATAAAAAAACATTAAATCCCATGTTGTAAATAGAGAATTTGTAAGTTAAAAAAAATCGAAAATAAATTCAAAAATTGAAACGAGTTTTCATAACATTCATTTATATATGAAAAAGGTGATAATTAATAAAAAAAAAAATAATGTCTATGTGTGTGTATACATATATGTTATTATATGTCCTTAAAGTACAATATTTTTTTGATGATAATTCAAAATGTTTAAAAAAAAATAAAACATTCAATATTCTTGAACGTTTTCGTTGGGTGAGTGTGACGAATAATAAAAAATTTTATTTTAACCTATACTCTATATATAATAATAATAACAATAAAGAATTTGATCAAATATAAATGACATTTTTGAATTTAGAATATAATAATAATACATAGAGATCGGACACGCCTGTCGTTGCACCACCCGGAGCAATTTAAGAAAAAGAATCGTTCTTTAGTTTTTTCGTCCTTACAAGTGTAATAAAAACAATGGGAATGATGAATCAAGAAATTTGTAGATATTTAAAAATGTCAATGATAATAGAGCATTAATATTATCATGTATATATACTGTTGTACCTATCGATTCCGTCTTCTCTTATATACCTCATAATCCTTTAAGTGTCACGGGAGGCATCTCCTTCTCTTATAATTATTATTGCTAATAATAATAATATTTTAATTGCATTATTGTTAATGTTAATATGTTATTAGCGCAGTTGGTGAAAAATAAGAAGGCCTGTCAGCCTTCTATTTCAATTAAAATTTTAAAGTATGCCATTATTAATGATGTTTTTTGATTTTTGTGAAACAATAAACATCAGTATCGATTTTTTTTAAACGCGAAGATTTTAATCGACAAATAAAAGAATGGAAAAAAGTTATAAAAAAATAAATAATTAAATTTGTTTGATTTATTTGAAATGTATGAAGTTCACTTATTCACATAATTTATAGATGAGTTTACATATTGATGAGCTCTCTTCATGTAATTACAAATGATAATCGTGATTATCCAGACGGTGTGATGCGATGTGATAATTATAAAGGATTACGGGCGAGAAATTCACCTGGTGAGAAATAGGTTTCTCTTTATAAATCATATCACGCTTTTAGTTTAAAAATTATACAGTATTTGCATTAGAAAATCGACATTACACAAAAATATTTTAAGTTAGTAAAAAAATACTGAAACTAATTTTTCGTGTATTTAGATATTAAGATATTAAGAATAAATTAATTCATGAATTAGCATATTTAAGAAATGCTGATTGTAAGTCGTAAATGACACGTTTCACTCAATCCTTAATTAATTTCTCTAGGCACACCACCATGAAATTTTCAAAGATCTGATAAATAATTAACTCGATTAACTAGGCGTAAAAGAATCCTGAAAATTGTTTTAAAAAGGATCACAAATCAAAACCGTAATGGATGAATATTTAAAACGAAATCATACCATCATTTAATTCAAATCCCTAATTAAATCCTCCAAAATGAACAAATGTTTGTTCAATAATGGGTGTATGAAAAGCTTTACAAGAAAAGTTGCGGCTTCAATACATAATAGCAGGGTTGTCAAGGGACTTTGGGTTATTAATTAAAGTTATTTAGAATCAATTTTTATATTTATTTATAAAGTTTTAATATCTATTTATAATCCAATTAATAGGGACAGTGGGACATGGGACATAGAGACAGTCAAAAAAGTTAGGGACATGTAAAATGTACAATACTGCATAATAGTAGTAATTTTTTTTATTAAGAATATTACTATTACCAATACTTCAACCTCTACTTTGTTATATTTTGCTTATTGTTTTTAGTAAGTCACCCCAACGTAATGTTATCAATAAATGTTTATCTTTCACTTTTTCTTATTGAATGCCCATGTGACATGTCAGTAGAATCGTCACTCAAATTCCACATGCTGTTACTCTTGTATCAAAAAAAAAAAAAAGGCTCTGAATACGGAATCTTTCTTTATTCTATCATGTTGGTTAAGAAATTTATAGATTATAAAGAACACAACAAATATAGCCTTTAAATATTTCTGTGATTGATCTTAATCAAATGGAAAATGAATTTCTAAATGTGTTGAATTCACGACGACTTGTGCGTTTATGAATCTCATTTTTTTTTATTTCCAATAAGAATCCCTAACCTTCTCTTTGAAAAATCAAAAAACAAATGGCTTTTATGGTTCTGGAAGATAGATTTAAGGGATTGTTTTCTTTTGATGCTGTGCGTTATCTTCCTTCTGAACATCAAAAGCGAACACAATTTTATTATTTCTTGTTACACAATAATTTTTTTAAAAAGTTCGAAATGATCGTCATTTTACTAACAAAAATAAGGAAATGCACATTCTTTTAACATCTAACCAATAATGATTCAAGATCTATTTACTCAAACCAGTTTGTCAGATGATCATGAAAAATTGTAACTTGTTTGAAATAAATGCTTTATACTTTTATTTTTCTTGGTTCAGTCTAATATGATATTTTCTATCCAATCCACATTCGCTAAAAAATTTGGACTATTAAAAACATTACCTCAACATTTTCAAACTTTGGTCAGTGTTCAACGATATATTCAAATTCGACATGATTCATCACAAACTCCATTCAATGAGGATGAAATCCGCAAGTATTGAAAGAAATATCGATGAATCATTTTTTGTCGTTCTGAATTTAAATATATAAATTAATCTTTTGAATTTTACAGTATCAACGAATAATGCTGATCCTCATACCAAAATTATGGAAATTCTTCGAGAATCATCTGCAATGAGTGAGTGTAAAAAAAAAAATTATTATTTTAAAAATATATCATTTCTAAATTTAAATTAATTTAAATTAAATTTAGGTACTCCACAACTTGGTATGAATTCTCGATTCAGATTTGGAAGAAATTTTCGTAGTGGGGAGGTAATTTTATTATAGTTTACATAGTTGATTAATTAATGTAGATATCAACAATTGTAAAATATTAAAATCTTTAGATTTACGCTCCACATGATTTGAATGAAGAAAATTACAAAGACAAAAAGCCATTAAGATTTAGAAAACCACCTCCAAATGTTGATGTGTTTAAAAGGTTAAATCTTAATCCATTAGTGGAATACAAGGTAAATTTGTTAATTTATTTTAGGTATTAAATTTTATTTATTAATCGATTCATTTTATTTTATTTACTAAATTAAACTAGAACTTTAATTTATTATCAAATTTTGTTTCGGATATGGGAAGAATTCTTCCACGAAAAAAAACCGGTAACTTATTCAACAAATTTATTATAATATTCATATCACACCTTCACCATTACCTATACACATATCCCTAGGACTGACGGCCAAAAACCAAAGAAAGTTAGCTAAAGCTATCAAACGTGCTCGCTCATTTGGTAACCTTTAAAATATTTGTCATAAGATATAAGATATTAAATTTTTTAATATCACCCTTTCCTAAAAATTTTATTATTCTTTAGGTTTAATACCTTCTACTTATAGAAGACAAATTGAATTAGACTTTTTCCCAGGTTACCGTGGTGGTGGTTTTGATAATAGAAGTTGAAAGGTAGATAATTCTTCTTTTTTTTCTATAATAGTGACTTTTATTTCTCTACACACATATTAGATATTTTAAAAAAAATTATGACAAGTTCTTTTAATTTGTCTTTTAAATCAGACAAAATTCTTAAATGGGTCATTCTAATTTGTGAAAAAGGGAATTACATATTATAAACAAATTATTTAACAAGTTTTTTTTTTTTTTATATATAAATATATATATATTATATAAACCATAAGAAATGAAATTATAAGAAATTAGATTCCTTAAGTGAAAAAGTAAAATTAAATTAAATTAAAATTAAAGAAAGGAGAGATTTAAAGTAAAAAATTAAAATTTATCACTAATTAAAAATTATGAATTGACAAATTATTGATCTAAACATACGCTAAAACTTATAATCTTTATTTGAAATTATCAATTTTGGAAGTTTTAACATCATCGATATCTTCCATTTCCATAACTTCTGTTTTATTGGGATTATTAGCTTTTGAATGCCTTCTCCCATAGAAAATATAAATCAATAAGCCCACAGCCATCCAAATAAATAATCTTTCGATACTCGCTTTTGATGAAGTCGCCAATAATAATAAATCTAATAAAGCTCCCGATAGAGGGAAAAGGAATGGACCACCCGGAACTCGGAATTTCCTTGGTACATCGGATGCTGTGAAGCGTAATATAATGACACCTATGTTCACGATAAAGAATGCAAGCAAGGTACCAACTGAGGTAAGTTCAGCAAGAACACCAATTGGGAATAGTGCAGATACTATTGCGCAAAGAAGTCCACATGCTGCGGTGGTTATGTATGGAGTTTTGAAGCGTGGGTGAATTCTTGAAGCCAATTTGGGAAAAAATAACCCATCACTTTAAAAAATATTATATATAATTTTAAATTATTAATTTCAAAAAAAATATATATATATATTTTAAAATGACAAAATCAAATGAATAACATATTTACTTTGCCATTGCTAAAAAAATACGAGGTTGACCCATTAATAACACGAGAATAACAGAACTCAATCCGCAAATTGCACCAAAATCTATAAATATTCCAAGCCATTGCATTCCTGTTACCCTAGCAGCAATTGAGAGAGGTGCAGGATCATTTGCGAATAGTTTATAATTCACGACACCAGTCAACACGAGACTATAAAAATTAACCATTAACATTAACATTAATAATAACAACGAAAATTCATTAATAAAAATCGTTGACTTATTGACTTACCAAACAGAAATGTAATATATCGTTACGATACCAAAACTAGACATAATAGCAATTGGTAAATCCTTCTGCGGATTTCTAGCCTCTTGGGAAGTTGTTGAAATTGAGTCAAAACCTATGAAGGCAAAGAACACCACACTGGTACCAGCCAAAACACCAGTAAAACCAAACTGTGAAAATGAACCTTCATTAGGTGGAATAAAAGGACTATAATTTTTTGGATCCACATAAATTCCGGCAGCTATACAGAAAACAGTTAACACAATAAGTTTCACACTAACAATCATAGTATTAAATCTAGCTGATTCTTTAATTCCAAGTATTGATAATATAGTGAGAAAAATAATTATTGTGAAGGCTGGTACGTTAAAATAGGCACCAGGAACTATTTCAAATCCACCAAGGTCACTGCTATATGTTATTGGGGCACTAGTCCACGAATCTGAAAATTCAATATTAAAACCATCCTTAAATAAATTTACGAAATATCCTGACCAGCCTTTTTTTTTAAAAAAAAAAATTAATAAATTAATTAATTAAAGATTTAAATGAAAATAAATAAAAGTTACTAAATATTAAAATTTACCTACCAACTGCGACCGCAGAAGCACCTACTAAATATTCTAAAGTTAAATCCCAACCAATTATCCAAGCTACAAGTTCACCCATAGTTGCATATGCATATGAGTAAGTTGATCCTGAAATGGGGATCATAGATGCTAATTCAGAATAAGATAAAGCCGAAAAACTAGCAGTAATTCCAGCAAGTATGAACGAAATGACTACAGCTGGACCAGCCATTTCTCCAGCGGCTTCACCTATAATTAAAAATTAAAATAATTAAATTCAAAAAAATTTTTTTTTTCGATTGTTCTTTCATTTCTTTAAATTCTTCTTAAATTAAAACCTACCAGTTAACACAAATATTCCACTACCAATTATTCCACCCAATCCAATCATTAATAAATCAAAAACACTTAGTGATTTGCTAAGAGTAGATTTTTTTGCATCTTCATCTACACTCGTTAAAGTTTTTACTGTAAATAATTTTCGAACATGATACTTCCAGTTACTTTCACCAGGTTGCCTTGGAGCACCTGAAGTTATAAAACTATATTTTGACATTTCAAATTATTAATTATGTACACCAATTTATTTAATAAACGTTATTTGGGTAGGAATTTTAATAATTCCTTCTATTTACTGTATTACATTACATTACATTACATTTAATGAATAAATCACGAGAAGTCATTGAAATAATTTTTTGGGGATGTGATATGGTGTGGCTGAAATTTCACAATTAATGGCATGTGACGAAGAATCATATCATCATAACCTGACAGTTTCACTTTTTTTTTTGATTTTATCCTAAAATTGTAATCATTCACGATCTGGTTTGCAACATGTTCTCGAAGGTTTATATATAGTTTATGAAATTATGATAAGAAAGTTTGCAGAAAGGGTATAATAGAAATAGAATTACTGGTAAACTTGCAGTATGTGTTACCCAAGAAATATAAATCTCAATAAATGAAATTTTTTTTTTTAATAAAAACTCTTATCCAAAAGTTAAAACAATTCGATCTTTTCTTATAATTATGATAATCTAATCAGTAACCATTTTTAAATTAAAAAGCCACCGAAATTTATATTTATTTAATGTTTTTTAATGTATTTATTTGTTTATAAGAATTAAAAGCTTGATTATTCCTTTTTTAGTAAAGAGCGATTTATAGGTCACATACCATACCTCACCATATTCCACATTCCTCACGTCCTCGCGTTCGATAAAAAAAAAAATAATTTCTCATGCTACTTTAATTTACCCAAGTTAAAGCAAACAATGGAATTTATTTATAGTTTAGCGCAACTATAAAAGCCATTTGTCTGTCATATGAAATCTTTATCTTGAAAAAAAAATGGGAAGGTTAGATTGTTATGGTTTGTACTTGTAAAATATAGAAATAATAATCTTTGAGATCAAATAAAAGTTCAAAAAAAATCAATATACATACATATAAGCTTTATAATCAAAGAAAAAAAAAGTATTGGGAAAATTTGATAAATTAAAAATATGTATTTCATGCATAAATGAAATTCCTGAATTTAAGTTAAAAATAGAAAATTTAAGGTTTTGTAGTATGATAGAAACATTTACTTCTTTTTTTTTATTGTTCAAATAATTATTTTGAAATTCTTTGTAACATATTTTATATCATATGGTATCAATATTTAAATCTTGTGAAAATTAGTAAAATAAACTGGGTTAACAAAATCAATTTGGTAAGATTTTTAAAAATTAAAAAAGAAAGTAGAGTAGATTTTAGATATTTGATTTATGATCAAGCGATTAATAACAATTAGAAACAAAAAATTTATTGTTTTTTACCAAATTTAGAATTATCAAGATTTGAAGTTTAAAAATAGAAAATTAGAAAGAATTATTTATAAATTTAATTAACTATAAATACTTATCGGAGATTGCACATGCATATTCGCATGTGATCATAGTCAATAGTTACACAAACTTACAGATATGACAATTCATTGTAATTCTCTTCCCAAATTCTCTATAAGTGGTAATATGATAATCCCTATATATAGACATATAATCCCTTGATTGAACTTTGCGCCCTCACACCATTGACAAAATAATTCAAATCTTTCCCGAAAGCAAACAAGTTGATTGTTGTAGATTGTTATAGAATTATACAATATCAAATCATACGAATAAATTATGTCATTTAAATAGTGTGTTATTTTTCTAATAAATTTCCAATACCTTTTGTTAATATTTTTTTCCCTTAAGATATTTTTAATAAATCAATTAAATATATATATATATATATTCTTTAATTTCTATCCTTCAAAAAGGAGATAAAAAATCATATCTTTGCAACAATATACTAAACATATATAGACATTCTATTCCAAACTCTTTTAACTGTAAAGTTTCTATTAACATAAGCAAAAACGTTTTGGGGCTTCCAATAATTCACTAAAATAACTCGAATATTTCTTGTATTTGTTCTTTAAAAATGGATGACAATGTAAAAAATATCAAATTACTTGAAGAAGTATCATCAATTGAACAAAGAATTGATACAATTGAAATAAACATCGCCAAGATCAAAAAGATTCAAGAAAAAATTATTATATCTGTTGCTACCACTGAAGAATTCGCTTTAGCACAAAAACGTAATCAGATTGTACATAACACTAGAGAAATTTTAAATGAAACAAAAGATCTTATCAAACGGTACGAGCGTAATACTCGTGATTTACGTTCTGATCATTCAGATAAAAAGTTTAGATCTGAACGGCTGAACCACCTAAAAGAAAAATTCAAGATAGTTTTGGATACATATACTCAAGCTGAAAATACTTATTTGGATCAACGAAAGGGTAGAATGAGTAGACAGTATAAGGTAGTATATCCAGATGCAACTCAAAAAGAAATTGATGATTATCTTAAGAATACCTTTGATCAACCAATATTCACTAATGCACTGCTGGGAATAAGAGAAGCAAAAGATACTTTGGCAGAAGTGCGAAAACGACATAGTGAGATTATAAAGATTGAACTTACGATTAAAGAGTTATTGGATTTATTAAAGGATTTAAAATTACAGGTTGATGATCAAGATTCGGAAATAGTCTCCACCGCTATTGATATAGATATCGCTGGGCAGAAAATAGTAAACATTTCAAGAGATTTGAATGGAGTGAAAGTCAATAAGTCTATTAGACGAAAGAAATGGTTAATTGCAGTAATCACAACCATCGTTATCTTAATTTTGGTTGTATTACTTATTATTTTACTTGGAGAAAATTCTTGAGAAGTAAATTTTTGAAGTAAATTCTTTATTAATATTAGAGTAAATTGTAAAATTGATAGAAATTTATTTCATTTCTATTTCATATAGTATTAGATATTCATATTTTCATATTTACCCTCTACTGGATAGATTATTTTAAAATTAGTATCATACAAATGTACAGCGTTGAATGACAAAATCATTTTTCTCCTACGCTACCAATTATTCATTATTTTGTATATAGTATTATTTAGAAATCATTATTTGTTTTTCTCTTCTTTTTTTTCAAATAAAACTTAATTATTTGATGAATACTTTTAATTGTAATAAACTTGATATTATATGTTAATCTTGAATCGTGTTAAGCGTTAAGGTGATAATAAATATGTAAATATATCACTTCACCTTTGACCCCAAAAAAAATGGTTTGTCTTTAATTTTGCAGTTACAGAAAATTAAAGTAACATAATCTTTTTAAGGAAATTACAATGTTTGTCATTTTTTATTATAATATATAGGTAATGATTGCAGAAAAATGCATAATTTTACGTTCATTATTCTCTCCGATTTGGCTAAAATGAGATGCTTTACAACAAATAAACCTGTTGTAATAGATTTGACCGACCGTTATTAAACAAAAATTATTTATTATTTTTTCTGCATATTTGTTTATATCCCAAAGTTTTTTGCTATAAGCATTTTGTTAAAAAGAATTTTCTTTTTTTGCCAGCTGAAACAAATTGAAAGGAGCGAAAAAAAGCGAAAAAATATGTAAATATATAAATCGTTTTTAACAGAAGTTAATAATAAAAATCCATATAGGTTTATCATAACACTTTGAATTTTAAATTTTCTTTGTTTTCGTTGACATTTTTTTAAACATAATAATATAATAATTTTATTTACATCTTAAATTTGTAAAATCAAGCTTTATTAATATGTTCTCAAAAAAAAAAATAGATAAAATAAACAGATAATAATATTTCAATTATTATTATTTTTTTTTTTTTTTGAATTTTTATGTTTTTATGATTTTTTTTTGTTTTAAAATAAATGAAAAACCTAATTTAATCCTTTTTTTTTGAATTTCTTAAATTTTATCCAAATTTATGCATTCTTTAGATTCCTTAGAATCCATATCATAAGTAATTATTTCATTTGACTTTAATAAATTAGGATCTATAAATTCAAAAATTCAAAAAAAAATCAAGGAATTAATTAATTATTATTTAAAAATAAAATTATTGAAAATTCTAAGAATATTACCAGAAGATTTTCCAGATTTGATGTCATCCAATGAATCATGTAATCCATGAAGAGTATAAATGCATCTACTAATATAACATGATTGTGGGTGTGACTTATTTGGATATGGAAATAATTCTGATTGTGATTTGAATACTTTTCCTTGATTTTGATCAGCAATTTCAAGTTGTCGCATAATTTTATTATCTATCGTATTAAGATAAAGTTTGTGAGATATTTCACAAAAGAAATTAGATAATTCATCAGCAGTTGGACGTTCAGAAGGATCATCACTCCAACATCGATACATTAGATTAAGATACCATTCCGGAACCCAATTTAATATAATATCAGGAACCTTTGGTCTTACACCATTGCATATGTCAATCATCAAATATGTATCATGTACTTGGTCAGCGAATGGTTGTTGCGTAGTAATTATTTCATACATAATTCCACCGAAACTATAAATATCTCCTTTCATTGTGAATGCATCTCCTCGTAATACTTCAGGAGGAATATATGGAATTGATCCATAAATCTTATTATTTTGATTTTTATTGTGATTGTGATTAGATTTTAAATCATTTTCTAATCTACATAAACCTAAATCTGTAATTTGTGCAGTGTTGACATTTTTGAAGCCAAAAATAATTTCTATCAAAATATTTCCACTATGAAGGTTACCGTGAACTATATTCTTTCTATGTAAGTTATCAAAACCAAAAGATATTAATAATAATAAGTCAATTTTTGTTTCCCACCTTAAGTCCCAACAACTTAAATAATGATGCAAGCTATAATCATATATATCCGTAACAATAATGTAATTTTGTGTAAAAGGATTTTTTGAAATTCCATAACATTTATTAATGTAATCAGAATCATTAACGATTATAATCTTAATATGAAATATAATAAAAAAAAAATAATAATAATAATTAATTCATAATAGAAATAGTAGAAATAATGATAGAAATAATAGAAAATAATAAAAAATAATAATAGAAATAATAGAAATAATATAAAATAAATACCTTTTTAAGAAATTCAGATAAATCATATCTAGAATCTTTTAATTCTTTCAAAGCAAATCTATAATAAACCCAATATTTCCAATCCTGTTTGTTTAAATCCCAATACCATTTTAAGCCTTTTCTTAATTTGGCCGAATATACAGATCCATCTCCACCATCTGCTATGTGCCTGATATCATAAAAATCATCATAAGGTATCCATTGTAAACTATTATTATAATTCATTGTAAATTGATCTCGATTTATTAGAGAACTTTGTGATTCTTGAATAACTTTGTCAATATCAGAATTCCCACTAGACCATGTTCCAAATTCTTGAAGATAATGTTCTTTAGTACACATATTACATTCTAAATTTGAATAAATCTCATTTTTGTAATCACGATAAATAAAATCATTGGAAGAATGACCAGCGAAACAATGCTTTGTTTGGGACATAGATAAGAAGGGGTGGTATCTGATATTGAAATTTTTTTTTTTTTTAACTAAAAAACAAATTTGATGGTTTATCATTAATTGATGGTTATCATTGCCTTTTATTGAACTCAGATTTACGGATATTTTAAGTCAGACAATGTAAAGAAAATGCTCTTTGTTTAATTATTTCAACTATTTCAACTATTTCTGTTACTTTGAATTCGATTATGAATAATTATCGATTTTTTTTAATTGGTTACGAATAAAAAAATATGATTAAAATAATTATAAGATGTAATTTATCATTTACTAATTTAAGTGCAAAGAACTTAAAGAACTTGTTATTAATTTTTTTTTGAAATCATCGATCAAGAGTTTTTGAAGTATTTTTAAAATATTCATCGAGAGTCGTTGAATCATTTTCGAATATACTACAGATTCAATTTATTCGATTAATTCTTCAACTAATTTATTATTCACTAAGGCGAGAGAACAACCATTAAATATCTTTATAATAATAAATATTTATAATAACTTATTAGTCTTGCAATGACACTTCATTATTCTCGCATAGTACAAAATGATGTTTATTGAATCTATCATTAAAATATCGTAAAGAAATAAATATCAATTTGAAACTTTCACAAGTAGAAATAATGGAAATATGATCAAAACACGAAATTTTATTATAAGCATAATACTGTACTTTAGATGAATGCACGATGATTGTTGTTCAAAAAAAGTAGTAAAGTAGATAAAAAGCTACAAATAAAGTATAAGACTAAAGGATTAATTTAACAAGCAAGAGCATCAAAAGATTAGAACTAGAAGATCGGATTTTTTTAAACTTACGTGATAGCCAAATAAGTGAACGGTCCCACAAGATTTTAATAGAACTTGTGTGCAGTCTGAGAAAAGCAAAATAAGATCAGAATAAGACTAAAGATTAGCAAGCGAGAATATCTAAAGATCAATTTATAATAGAGCTAGAAAATCAGATTTTTACATGAGTAACAAATTAAAGCAACAAGTGAACCATCCTCCAACAAGATTTTAATTGCTAAGGTTGAGTTTGAGTTGATTTTTGGTAATTGTGTCACGGTTTGACGGTCACGGTTGATACAGTGCGGAACCTCTATAATAGGAACTTAGAAAATCTTAAATAAAATTTAATCCTTTTCTTTCAAATTATAACATTTGACTCGGATCGATTCTTGACTCGGTTGTCACTCAGGTGTAAATCCTCACCTGGGGTGCGTCAAATAAAAATTGTGATTATATGAAGAGAATTTGTCAAGAAAATCCATCTAAGGCACAACATATACATTTGAGGGAATCTTTATGGAAAAAAATTTTTCTCAGCTTTCTTGGGTTATGTAAACATCACATGAAGCGTTTTATCCAATCAAAATTCAAGAATATATATTCACATGTTTACGAATTTCATTTCTTTACTCTTAAAAACATTTTAACAGACACAAAATTTGAAATCTTTTTTTAAGCAAAATTATAATGGTTCACTATTTTTAGTATATTCTCAAATTTGATAGATATAATTAAATACAGGTGACTTCACCTATACATGTTGTCAAAAGTAAAAAGCCTTTGACTCAATTACTGAAATTTCAATTGCGTCTTTGTAATTGCATCAAATAATTGTGAACCCAATTTTTCATAATCTTAATTGCGTCTAACTAAATTTAATATTTTTGATAATATGTTTATAACTTCAACCTCGATCAATTTAAATCAGATCAAAATTTTAACTGATGATCCTTCTGGGATACTATGGTTAAATAAAGTTTTGATGCAAAAAGGCTAAACAATTTTTACTATAACTAAGTTTCTATCATAGAGGTTCCGCACTGTAACATTACTGCATTCTTTTTTCATCTTTTCAAATAACAGATCAGCATTTTTTTGTTAGCATAATTTCTAACTCAGAACATGTTGTACCTGTATGCCCTTTGAACTGAAGTTTCAAGTTTGATTTCAATATTTTCATTTCTTGAAGGTTTTGATGACCCTGATGAAAAAATACGAACAAAGGACCAAAACTGTGCTTAAGGACACAAGAGAAACAATAGCATTGTTATTCAAGAAAGTAGACAACACAAGAATATATGAAGTTACCATGGTGATTAATAAGAGAAAACGACTAGTTAACATAGTGATTAACATGTTATAAGAGTTAGCTATTAAAGTTGACAATAAAAAAAGAAAAGGAGTCAACGGAAGAAGAAAGTTGGTTGACATATTGTGTAACGTGAAAAAGAGGTTGTCAACAATGTTAGTCAACACCAGAAGAGAGTTAATTGACAAGTTGCAGAACGAAAGAAGAAAGTCATTTATTATGTTGAAAACAAAAGAAAATAGTTGCTAGCAGTTAATGCGAAAAAAAAAATCATTCAACACGAACAACAAAGTAAGAAGAGACGTGAGAGATAAGTTTGTCAACATTGTAAAGAAATTTTAGATAACTGGAAAAAGTTCTTCCTCGTTAACGTTAGAAGATAGTTTATCAGCATTGAGTGTGTTTATTTATCAAGGTTACACAAGGTAGAAACACGATGGTTAGCTTCGGACCGGTAATCGGTAATCGTTACATAGCCTCCGGGATACGGTTTAATCTTTCGTTTCATTAATATATTTATAGATTAGTATACCTTATATTATCTTACAATATTTCTGTTGAAAATTGGATACGTTATATCTTTCTTTTACCAATATGGTTTTTCAGTAACACACAAGGAAAATCTATATATATATATATATAATCATCGTTTCATAATAATTAAGAAAAAAAAAATGTCTATCCCTCAAAATCTCTTAAACAAACGTATCCAAATTGAAGATCAAATTGCTACGGTTCGTTATATTGGACCAGTTCCACCTAAAGGTGAATGGATAGGATTAGAATGGGATAATGTATCAAGAGGAAAACATGACGGTGTGCATGATGATGTTAGATATTTTACTTGTAGGTGAGTTTAGTTTGATAAAATAAAATTCATTTAAATATTTAATCTCTTGAGAAATTTATTTCTTATTACAATTAACTTTTATGATACATAATACGTATCTATATCTATACGTACATGTATAATAAATTAGTGTTCCCAATTCAGGTTCATTTATTCGTTATTCATCAAAGATAAATACAGGTCGTAGTTTTGTTTCGGCTTTAATGGATAAATATATTGGCGAAGAAGCAGGAAAAAAAAAACATGAAAATGAAGAAGAAGAAGAAAAATATGATGCACAAAAGGATTTGGATACACTTTATTGGGCGGGAAATACCAAGATCGAAGTTGAAACTTTAGGATTTGAAAAGATTCGTCGTAAACAACGGTATGATTGATATTTCTGATATATATATTATTCATTTATATTTTGAATTCACATTATTCTATTAACTATTAGTCACCTGGATCGATTATTGGAAGTTGGGCTTTCACTCGAACAAATATCAAGTGCGGGTAAACCAGGAGAAATCGAAGCAACATGTCCAAGTATATATATATATCTCTATATATGTATAAATAAATATAATATCTCAGCTATATAAATATTTTTAATTTATTATCCAGACATTATTGATTTGAATTTATCAAAGAATTTATTATCAGATTGGGAGATAGTTGATTCTATATGTCAGCAACTTAAGAAATTAGAAGTGTTACGTTTAAAGTAAAAGAAAAAGAAATTTTTATTTCTGATTATTGTAATAATAATAATAGTAATAACAACAACATTATTTACATTATTTTTTATCAAATTTAAAATAATTTCAAAGTCATAATCGATTTCAGGCTTTGGAAACGATCCCAAAATTTACTGGATTTTCTAATTTAAAGAGTCTCTCTTTAAATTATACTCGAATTACTTGGGATCAGGTAAATAATATCTTTGTGCTGTTTGTGTTATATTTGATTATTTATATTTGTTGTATTTGTTACATTTTTTATATTTGTTATATATATATTAGGTTGTATTGTTTGAGCCATGTCTTCCAAACCTAGAAAATTTACAATTAGGATTTAATAATATTGAAAATTTATCATCAGGAAATAATCAAGAAACTAATAAAAAAAAAGTGAAAGGATTTTTGAAATTAAAAATTCTTAATCTTGAATCTAATGCTATAAATATGTGGGACGAAGTTATAAGATTTTCAGAGTTACCAAAGTAATTATATTTTATTATATATTTTGTTTTTATATTTCTTTCTGCTTTCTTTACTTTTCTCAATTATTATTAATCTTCTCAATTCATTTATTTTTATATAAAAATAGCTTTGAAATCCTTTTCATCAATAATAACTTCATTGATCAAATATCATATCAAAAGGGAGAAGAAGGAGAAGGATTTCCTAAATTAAGATATTTAAATATTAGTGAAAATAAAATTAGTGATTGGAATAGTATCAATGAATTAAATAAATTTCCTTCCTTACAAGAATTGAGAATAAAGAAAAATGCTTTTCTTGAAGGTATTTATTATAAAAATTTTTTTTTTCAAAAATTAATTACTTATTATCGTTACATATTTTTTAGATGAGAAACCTGACGAAGCTCATGTATCTATAATTGGTAGAATTAAAGGGTTGAAAATGTTGAATGGAAGCATAGTAAGTAATTTATTCATCACATTAAATTAAATTATATTACTGCATATTTAACTTTACCTATTTTTATTTTATATAATTATTATTTTAATTTAATAGATATCATCAGGAAATAGAGTTGATGCAGAAAGATTTTATCTCAGAATGTGTGTAAAAGATTTAAAGAAACCTAAAGAAGAAATAGAAAAAGAAAATCCCAGATTTAAAGAATTATGTGAAATTCATGGAACTCCAGTGGCAGATGAAATTTCTGTCAAGGCTGCCAGTGGTATTTTAAAGGATCGATTATTAGGTACATAATTGATTAATTCTTTCTTTCTCACTCTCGTTTTCATTTTCTTTCATTTCTCACTCTTTGCACCCTTTTTAATATTATAATATGTTATAGCATTAACAATAACTCATCGTCCGTCACTTGAAGGAGAACCTATAAAAAAGGTTTCAAAGAAACTTTTAGGTAAGTATTTATTTACAGTATTACCTTTTTCTTTTTAAAAAAAAAAGAATTTATAAATTCATTTAAAATTTATTTATTTAGGTACCATGGAAATAAGAAATTTAAAAAATTTACTTCAAAAACTATTTGGAATACCATCATCTCAACAACATTTAATTGGTATTATTAATTCTCAGGTATTTTATTTATCATTTAATGATTTATAATGTTTATGTTTATAATGTTTATAATTATAATGTTTATAATGTTTATTAGGTTGGAAATGTATCACAAGTAGAGATAAAAGATGATTTAAGACAGCTCTCATATTATGATGTTTCATCAGGTGATGAGATTATAATTCTGACTACTGCTTGAATTATATATATTATTTAAAATATTATTTATTATTACAATATTTAATGTACATCATAACAATATGTTAATATATTATAAATAAATCTTATATCTATTATTCTGTCAACAAGTTATACATAGTACAAAATAAAATATAGTACTAAAATAAACTATCTATCATCACCATTTATTATTATCATCATATTCATCTAATTCAGGTTTAAAATCATGTAATTTAATTTTGACTAGATATTTTTCTCTTTCAATTGCTTTCCTTAGACTTGCTGGTTGATTTGGAATAAAATATACAAATATCAATTTAAATATAAATACTAAATGCTGTTTAATTAAAAAAAATGATCAATTAATATAATTAATATAATATAATATAACATAATATAATATAATATAATATAATATAATTTTTATAATATAGATAACATTTACCTCAAATACAAGAACAAATACCAATCTAACAACTAACAACATATTATCATCATCACCAGTATACTTTAAAAATTGTGCTAATGCCCAATTTGAATAAAATGCAATCATTATAGCATTGGTTAATACACCTATTATTGATAATGCGTGTAAAATATTTTCCCACATTCCCATATCTTGGGCTTGATAAGCAACTGGTCTTTTGGTGGTTTTGATATACTAAATAATTTTAAAAAAAAGAAAGTAAAAAATTATAATTAATAATAATTAAATTTAAATATTCAATGATATTATATAAATCATGGATTACTTTAAATGAATCAGTCTTGATTTCAATCAAGTTGTTTATCCATGAAAAGAATGATGCTAATGGAAAAGCTGATCCAAATATTACAATAAATCCAAATTGAACAACTAAATGAATTAATGAATAAAATAATAATTAAGAGATAATAATTAAATTAATTGATTAAGTAATAAAAATAATATAATAGGAATAGTTATAAAAATAATAATAATAAATGAAATAACAATAATAATTATTATTATTTATACCAATCTTTCCATTTTCATTTTTCTGTAGTTCAGGAAAATCGGCCAAATAATCATCAAGAACCCATTGAGGAACATTTGTATTCTTTTTATGATGTTTATATTTATCTATTATGTTTTTAAGTTGAATTTTTAAATTTTCTTTGGAAAAGTTGTTACTCAACCATCTGATAATAAATATAATAAACTTAACAAACATAATAAAAAAGAATATAATCATAAATAAATGATAAAACAATAATATGAAGAGATTAACTACTTACGGCATAAATATCTCTACAAATTGATCAAAGAGTTGCTTTCCAATTAATATAATCGCCAATTGAATAGTTAATTCTATTAAACAATTATCATTTTCACATCCTGTAGCTTTATCTGCAGCATCTGGTTTAAATAATGCAATTACTTCTCTAACGAACTATATAATCAGTTAATTAAAATAAATTAAAATAATTAATTTAATTAATATCAAAAAATAAATAAATAATATACTTACGTGTTGTTTAAATAGCAAGATATAAAATAATCCAGAATAATAATTAAAAAAGTCAAATAGAAATGTTTTGAATATTAATGCATCTAAAATAAATAAATAAATAAATAAATAAATAAATAATAATTAATATTTAATATTTAATATAATTTATTAGAAATAAATATTATTAAAATTAAAACAAACCTTCATATTCTGTATCAGTTCTATGATTTTCCATTTCAGTTAATTTTAAAGCCAAGTTTTTGGATAACTATAAATTAATTGAATAATTGAAGACAATTGCAAATAATGATTAATTATCAATAATCTAATCACAATAATAATAAATAATAAATAATAATAATAATAATAATAATAATAATAATAATAATAATAATAATAATAATAATAATAATAATTAGTAATTACCAGTTTAACAATTATCATAGTAATCAAATTCACAAAAGCAGTAACAAGAGTGGTATAAATTCCAATATCAATAAATACTTTTGGAATTACTATAATTACTCCTATTGTGAATACTAAAATACATATCTATTATATATGCATCAATATCTGTGTGTTAGAAATTACATAATATTATATATTTGTTTGATATATATGTATGAATTGTTTGTTACTTACAGAAATAAATATTATTGCTCCAGTAATAAAAAGCCTTTTCAATTTTTTGCGGAAAGGAAAATAAATTTCTTGTTTCATTGTAATTGGTGAAGTCCTAATATCTATTATTAATAATTTTAATAATAAATCAAATAATTAGAATAAGTTAAATAATGATAATTAAATTAATGATAATCCTAACCAGTTCCATGAAATCCTGATCTTGGTAATTCCTAAATAATGAATTCATATATAAATAAATTTCAAATTAAATAAAAATAAATAAATCAAGATGAAACACACATTACATTCTTTTCATAATCCATCAAATTCCAATCATATTGAATAGAAATATTTGCTCTTTTCCATGACTCTAGGCACAATGTTGCTAGAACAATTAAATAAATAAAAAATAAATAAATAAGCATATAATTATAATGTTATCATAATTTCAGAATAAAAACTTACCCCAAATTGACATAAAGAATGCATAAGGTAAGGTGAGAGCATTATCAACAATTACTGATATTCCATTTATACCGTGTGATAAAGAATTTTGACTTTGGAAAATAATAGAAAAAAAATAATTATTACTTTTTCAATATTGTATACTGAGAATAAAAAAATGAATATTTTTAACATTTTTAATTACCTTAATGCACAGATTATCCCATAAATTACAACAATTATTCCACCAATAGAAGCAACTGTTAACCATGAATTATAAAATTCTAAACATAAAAAGAAATCAATAATTAATATGTTTGTTATTATTTATTAAAGATTCAAGAATAAATCAAATTTTATTTTATACCAATCCAGACAAAATATAATGCTAATTTTTCTCCAAAGTATTCTAGAATTTTTTCTATTGGTTGCAGACCCCAAGATTTAACCCAAATTTCATTTAATTCCGCTCGTAAATTTGTTTCGAGTTCGCGTTTTATTTTAAAGGCATCATCCTCTTCATCTTCATTATCTTCTTCTTCTTCTTCTTCTTCATCATCATCATCTTCTTCTTCTTCTCCTTCTTCTTCTTCATAAACCTTTGATGATTCATCATGAATTGAATTAACTTCTTCATAGACCTTTGATGATTCATCATGAATTGAATTAACTTCTTCATAAACCTTTGATGGTCCATCATGAATTGGATAAAACTTGATGAAAATTTTATTTTTAATCAAAAGATCAATTGCAAGTGAATTAATTCGTAGTTTTACAAATGTTGATTTATTATTAATCATAGCACTTTGGCTTATATGATTTGCAGTCATTATCATTCTATGCACCTATAAAATATTACCATATATTGATGTTTAATTAGAGAGAATCTTCATGTTAATATTTTATATCTATGAAAAAAAAAGATAGTCAACAATAAAAAAAAAATACATAATTTACCATTAAATTTCGTTTAGCCGTGTTAAAAAAGTTTAATTTAATTTGACTTGTTGACATTGTCGGAGAAATTCCTTCAAACTCTGATAATTTTTCTTGAATGAATGAGGCGGAATGTCTATTGAATTTTCCTTTATATGATAAAAAATTAATGATGGTACTAAATATCGTCGATTTTGTTGGAAAATCAAAATCTTGAATATCTTTTTTCTAAAAATAAAAAAAATAGTATTAAAAATTTTAATAATAATGTTTATTCAAATTGTGTGTGTGGATAAACTTTTTTTAAAAAAAAAAAATAAGAAAAAAAAAAATACATTTAATGGAAATTTGATTTTCATTTGTTGAGCTTGTTCACATAATCTTTCAAATGGTGAAATTATTTTCATATAAATAAATCCATTAAGATTTATTTCACGTTCGACAATTAAACCTGTATTAAGAAGTAATCTTTCAAAGTTTCGTCGTTTTCTATGATTCTCTTTATTTTTATCATTCTTATATTTGATAATGAAATCGGGAAATGGATAGTCAAATATTACTTTAACTAATGCGTCTCCGATACGTTCATTTGCTATTTTTTATATATTAGCTTCATTGTTAACATACATTCAACGTTTAGGTTATCAATTTTTATTAAAAATTGGATTTTCCTTACAAAATTGTTTAATAGCTTCTTCGAAAAATTGGTTAACACCTCCTTCAAAAGTTTCATTACGATGATTTTTAACCCAAGATTTAATATTATCAAATAATCTAGCATCTTCAGGATTTATGAAATGTATTTTCCTTTTTCCTCTTTTATCTAATTTTCGAACTATAATTTTTTTCTTTAAAACGTCAATATCGAGCTAAATAGAATATATTCGGAAATTAAAAATAAAAAATTTTTAATATCACATGTCATATCAAATGAACGTTTTTTTTTTTTTTAATTCATTATATGTCAACCTCCTCCTCCTCCTTCTCTTCTTCAATTGGAACGTCAATTTGATAAGCATCACAAGAAGAAATTATGTCTAAATTCTTATCGTCATCAGTCATTATCAATTATAAAGCATATGAGAGAATTAATTGTTTTCATTTTATACCTTTATAATGGGTATTAGTTTGGTAACGCATGTATTATGATGCTATGCACGATAATCGCCAATTGAATAACTTAAATTAATTTATTTAAATTGTGGTGAGACTAAACCAAAATATTTAATTTAATTTATTTGATAGTTGAAAATGTAAGTCAATTATGTAGAAAATATAAAATATATGAAAACAATTTATTATAAGATACTACATATTTAAAACGTTCCTGATATGAACTTCTCTGGTTCATTTTATTTTAAGTAAATTGTTTTTTTTTTTTTTTTGTGATATGATATAAAAATAATTTTTGTTGTACATAAAAATAAGAAAAATGAAAATTTGCGTCTATTTGAAATCACATGATAATATAATTTAAAACAAATATTTCCGCATGTAAAAATCTATTTAAATGAATTTTTATGTCCCAAATGTCCCAAATGTCCCAAATGTCTTAAATGTCCTTAAATATTGCGAATATAAAAAAAAAATTCTATGGTAAAAATGACCAAATGGTTCCCAAGGCGGATAAACAAATACTTATACCAATAATAACCACGTTTAAGATATATTCTTTCCAACTTAACTCACGTCCAAATAATTTTAAATAACACATACAAGGAAAGACAACAGAAATGGTATATGAAAAGAATGAACCTAAAATTCCCATCACCCGATCAAATCCTGGAAATTGGATGGCAATTAATACTACAACCAATGATACTGACATACGTGAAATAACTTTTACTGCAGAACGTCGACCACGTCCTTTGTTAAACCAATTTTCAATATTTGGAATTGAAAAATAAGCAATCTCTAACGTTAAATTAATGGGATTAATCATGAGAGCATATTTGGCGATAGGATTTATAGCTACAAGCCATATAACGAATTGATTTAGAATTTTAATATATCCAGGTGTTACCATGATATTTTGGGTAATCTTTTAATTTTAATTTAATAATTATTATAAAATTAGTTAAAAATAAAAATAATAAAAATGACAAAAAAAAATAATAATAATAATAATAATAATTCAAATAAGAGTAAAAAGTTTTCAAAACTTACTTCTTGCATGGTTGTTAAACCAAACATAGCATAACCACAAACTGCCATAACAATATATACACTTGCTGTCACGAAATAAGTGATGTCTACCATTTTGTTATATTTATGAGGTTCTTGCATATCACGATATACTGAAGGAAATACTGCATGACCTATAAAATTACGAAATTTTAAATATCATAATTATAAAAATTATAAAATATATAAAATATTTTTTTACCTGTGAATCCGGCCATAATTAATCCAAAAGCCATAGGAAGTGAACCCCAATTAGATGGAAATAATTCTGTTGGCATTGGATCAATTAAACTTCCTGGTCTTTCTGCTTTCGTTATTCCATCAATTACCAATACTGAAACCAATGCGAAAGCGGAAAATATACCCAATAAAGAGAAATAAGATAAATAACGAATGGCCATCAATGTTAAAGGTGCCATGACTGACCAAGCTATTAATTTAAGTACAATTATTGATACGTCCGGAAATATTGCCTGTAAAGAATCACCACAAAGAATGACTAACGCAGTAGTTGAAGCAAGTAATTCGAGTGAAAACAGTATAGATATTAACAATCTAATTCCTTCTCCGAATGCAATGGCACCTAATAAACATTAAATTAATTATATAATCACAATGTTTTTTATTATTATTATTAATTTTTTTTTTTAGTAATGGAAATTTGCAAAATATCAAAATGATAGAGAAAACTTACCCATATCTGCATATGTATAAAGACCTTCATCATATTCTAAACATTTTACAAGTATTTTTGCAGTATAATTTGTAACTCCAAAACAAAATATAAATAATCCTAATCCAATAACCCATCCTGCGAAACGAAATCCAAGCGGTAATGCAAGAATACCGATACCTAAAATTATATTTAAATTTACGATTACATAAATTTAAAAGATTTTCATTCCTTTCAAATCCTTGGAAATTTACCTACCGATCAAAATATTACAAGAATTAAATATCGATTGTTGAAAAGTAGATCCCTCGTATATTTGAATATTTTGCATTGTAGATAAGGGCACCGATGTCATAGAACTCCTTTTCACATATAGAATGACGAAATGAATATAGAATAATCATTTCATAATTAAAACTAAATAAAAAAAAAGAAAAACAATTTACTAACTTTGACGTCGTTCTTATAAGTGGTGTACGTTCTGGAATATCTTTTATCTGTTTATCGTAAGGAACTTTCGGTGATTGTCGATTACTAAAGTATGATGATCCATAATGAGAAATTATTGGACTTCCACTAATTGTAGCGAGACTAGGAGCGTAACTTGAAGCTGGCATGTAAGATCCATATTGAGAACGATTTCCTGAACGATATGAATCAGGTAATCGAGCTTGTGCTGGTGAATATCGATTAGACATTGGTGAAAATGCTCCATCAAAAGAATCCGCAACTGAAGATGGTACTGCAATATTATCTGACATATAAGTGCTATATGGAAAAAAAAGATTTTATTAAAAAAATTAGTTTTTTTTTTTTATTACTTTACTGCTTTTCTTTTTATTATTCTTTACTTCTCTTTATTTTCTCTAGGAATAAATTATTACCTCATTATTTGACCTGAATTTTGAGTCCATGATTGAAGGTTTGTAGCAAAAGACTGTGCTAGGGACGAAACACCACCAGTTGCTGGTTCTTCAGGTTCCCGGTGCCTATTGCGAAGAGTTGTAGGTATGTTTATTGGTGTTGTAGACTCATTGCTAGAAGAACCGTTGCTTGACATTTTGGAAAGAGAAATATATGAATTTTTTTTTTCTCTCGAAATAATAAATAATAATAATAGATATTGAAATTTTATAAAAAAAAAAAAATCAAAAAAAAAAAACCAATGAAATAGATATATCAATTTCGGGATGTAGATCTTTCAAAATAATGATGCAATTCGTGCTCCGTATCATTTCAAGATATTTCAAGATATTTCAAGATCCAAGTTTATCAATCGTCAGTAGCTTTACAACATGCATCTAAATGATAAGTTTATTAAAGATCTTCGAACTGTGAATGCGCCACATTGCATCCTGCAGGTGGTAAGACGACTTTCTAAAAGAATTTCTCTTTCGTATGGTAATTTAACTTTTGTATGGTAATTTAACTTTTGTACGAAAATTTTAAAATCGGTTGCTGCGTAAATGCGCCAATTTCTAAAACCTTATATAGCTTATCTTTTTGAGAATCATAAATAATTGAAATAATTGATAATGTGTTCAAAAAAATAATGTACACTATCAAAGTCTTCTTTTGACAAGTACAAATAGTTACAATTTACCAGTACGCAAAATTAATTAACTAGTACCTTAATAATATTATTGCGTAAAAGTGGGAATAAAGTTTTTTCCCACATTTACTAAATAATATATAACAATTTCATCCCAAATACTAAATTTTTTTTAAACAATCTTTTAGGTTATTATTGATATCAATGATTATGTAATACCCAGTATTCAGAGAAAAGAGATCAATGATTTTTTTTTTTCTTTGAAAACCAAAAATGCCAATAACATATACTGGCAATAAAATTCTTTGTATTTTTTGGTTAGTTTTAAATATTCTTTTCTAGAAAATTGCTCAATTTTTATTATCTCTTCTAAGTTTATACAAGTTATACGAAATAAAAAAAAAATCAAGAATTAATTTATGCGTACTACATTATAATTTCCTTTTACGTTTCTCGTTTAGGCTTAGTTCTTTGGGCGTACAAAAACAAAACGTAATGGTAAGAGATAGACAATTGAATTACCTATTCTAGAATTTGGAGCAGTTATCACGTGATATGTTCAATCAAGGTATGAAATAAACCTGATTGTAAAATTTCTTTCAACAACTTTTAACAACAATAAGTCTCTTGCTAATAGATTTCCTATTGCAATAGTATGCATAAAAAGAATTTTACTTGGAAATGATTTAATGTACATTTGTGATGTAGCATTTATTAATCTAGTTATTAAAAAAAAATTTAATCTAAAATTTTTATGAAAATTAAATAAAAAAAAATAAATGTCATTAATTTTAAAACCACAAGAAATACTGTAATATCAATTAATCATTCTTAAAAATGGATGTGCTTCAGTATTAAAGACATAGGTATCCAGTGATATCAAGTCTGGTGGACTAAATAATAAATATAAGTATTTTAAAGTTTCTGCTAAAAAGAAACTATTTACATATAATATTAATATTTTAGTAAAATTATATTATTTAATAGAATATGATTACATTATTTACATTATCAAAATTAAAATATTATACATACCTTTCCATATTGTCATTTTTAAATTCATCACTTAATTCATTCACATCTGATAATCCCGAATAAGCAGTTTCTGTTTTACAATATTTCTCGATAGACTAATTCAAACATAATTGTAATTTATTAATAAATTTTATTATTATTAATTAATAAAATGAATAAGTTAACATTTATTATTTTTTTTTTTACCTGCCATATTTCCCAACCTTTTTCTTGATATTCCTTGTTTCCTGTTATTCTATATAGTATAAATAAACTCTCAATTGTTTCTAAAATATTCAATAAAAAAAAAAAAAAATTCTGATTAGAAAAGAAATATTTCTATTAAATTTATAAATGAATTCCTCATACCACTCACCAGGTCTTAAAAGATATTTCGTATTCGTTCTTACAATTCCTTCTGGAGGTTCATTTAATTTTGACTTTAACTTTGACTTTCTCTTTTTCCCCGTTTCAAACCAGAAAACTTCTGGCCCAATTCCGGTTCTCGTATTTTTATATGACCAATAACATGTTTCTGCTAATCCTATCGCTACATCAAAATCTCTTGGACGGTTTAGAACTTTTGAACCAATTGCCAACATACCTGGGACAAAGCAAGACTATGAATGTAATATTTTTGATTAATACATTTTATTTTAATTAGTCTAATTTTTTACTTTTTGTAAAAGACAAAGATTATTTAATAACTTTATTCACCAAATGATCCATTCTAGGATAAAATTCTTCATATGTTAATTCTCCTAAAAACATTAAATCTGGTCGAGATTTTACGACATTATGTTTGATGAGATGTCTATGCATGCCATTAATTGATTCAATATCTATTATTATGGAAAATTTTAGAATAATCGTTATTATTTAGAATTTTTTTTTTAAAGAAAATATTAATAAATAAAACTTTACACATTTTTCGATAATCTTTGAGGGCGCCTCCCACTAATATATATTCTTTAATCAAATACTAATAAAAACAACTTTTTAAGTTTACAAATATAAAGATATCTAAATAAAAAAGATATGTTTTACATTCGAAATACCTCATAAAAACTATCTCCATTAGCTCCAAATGTTACTACGTCTAGATTTTTCAAATAATAGTGTCAGCAAAAAGATATAAAATCTTTGTTTAATTTTGATTAAAGATAGTTACCAGCCCAAAATTCTCCAGAATCTAATATCAAAGAGAAAATTGTTAACAATTTATTTTATTTATAAAAACATAAATTTACATATAATTTTACATATAAAATTTATGATTAATTTTTTCCATACCTTGATCAATGTTAATTGGATATAATCCCGGAATTTCTGGTTTAGAATTTTTCAGAACTTTGGTAATATTATTAACCTTCATAAAATTGTATAAAATTTTAAAAATTTAAAATTACTTAAGATCAAAATGTTATTCAATGAACTAATAATTTTATTCATAATATTAACCTTAAAGAAAAATTCACTATTTCCAGTTAATTCTGCTAATTTTGAAAATTCTAAATATAAAGATCCAACTTGTGCCAACAAACAACCATTAATCCAAGGTAATTTGACAACTTTAAATTCACTATATTTAATAATATTTTATTCAATTATTATAATTATTTTATTTATTTTCAATTCAAAACATCTGAATTATACAAGAATCTTACTCTGAGAGTGATAAATAATTATAAGGTAATCCAGTAGTACTATTAAATGCGGTCAATAAAGCAAGTCCCAAATCATTTGCTTTCGATAAAAACATGGTATCCTTCGATAATTCGTACGCGCTCAGTAATCCACCTAAATATCTTATTGTTGTTTCAAATACATTGACTACTTCTTCACTCCTTGAAAAATTCACTTTGCTTACAAACTCTCGGGCTTCAGCGAATTCATTTCTTAAACCCATTATCCACATAGTGTCCAGAGAATCGACTATTGTTGCACCCCATCCATTAAATTTATTCGCATTACCATTACTAATAGGTAATAATTCATCAGATCCCCACGCGTACTTAGTGTACCCACGCCAACTATGAAGAAAACCATTTTTGATTGATTTTCTACGTTTCTCTCTTATTTGTTTTTCTTCTGATGTTTCTTTCACTGTTGAAAAATCATATTGAATAAGGGGCAAGTTAAAGACATTTTTTAGTTGCACTTGAGTTCCAAGATTATGTGATTTTCTTATAGGTTTATTAAAAATTGATTGAATTGTATCTAAATATTGTCCTGTAAATACATGATATATCTGAAATATCAAAAACCCTATGATGAGAAATAGAAGAATTCTACGTTTTATACGGATTAAGCGATTATAAATCTTTCGAAATATTAGAGAAAACATTGTAAGATGAAATTGAGAATGTAAAAGAAAACTTTTTTATAGTCAACATGTATATGCTGTGAAACTAAACAAAAATTAACACTAAATTAATTTTTATGCTACACAAATGCGGAGAGGATTAACTCGAATTCAATTCCTGTTTCAGATTGTTCGTTCTCAAATCTTAGATTAGTAATATTGGAGATCTTAAAAACTTAAAACGTCAGTAAAGTGCATATTTTTGGTTCATGATAATAATTTATTAGAACAAGTAAAAAATAAACATCGAGGATCGGATCATTTGCATGGCGTGAAAATGACTTCAAATCAATTAAATAAATCAAAATGAAAAATTGCCATCTTTAAAATAAAGTAACGGCAGGATTTGCGCTGTCGTACAATCGTGATTTTAGTACTAACAAATCAAGATTAAAATTGATCTTTGGAGTATAGGTAGTCATAGTTACCTATTTGCAAAAGGGCTTTGGATGTTTGCAGGGAAAAGACAAGCGATGGAATTTATCAAGACATAAATAAATGATATATAAATAAATTACATAATGACCTTGTTAAATATATTGTAAATCGATACTTCAAGAAATTAATTTCTTTGAATTTGAAAAATTGGTTCAAGAAGCAATTGATAAAGCAAGTAAAAATTCTATAATTGTAATTTCTCAACAATTCAAAATGCATATTTGATTTTGGTTATAAAAAAAAAAGGCATTCTGAATTAATTGGATTATATTTTGAATTAATTAACAAACCAGGAGGATGGAATAAATATACTAAATATTTTTTTTTTGTTCTTTCTTAAAGGGATGAGTTCAGAAAAATAATCCTATTACAAAATTATATGTCTTACAATCACAGATATCTTAAAAAGATCTGTTTTATTTATGATTTAATTTATATTGTTTATATTCAACTTATTTGATAAGTTGATTCATTGGCAGATCATTAACAAATGGTGTCCTTGATCGTCATTAATTTTATACAAAATCCAAGAATGAAATATATGAAATATTATTTATATTCCATTCAATATTTTGCAATCATAATGGTCTTATAATTCCATTCAATATTTTGCAATTATAATGGTTTATTTATCATTTATTAAAATTTGCCAATAATAATAATAAAATCTTTAAAAATCACTTGGTGTTTCTAAATTTTCTATAAAATGTTTTGATTCACATTTTTATTAATAGCGGACGCGGGACATAGGGACAGTAGAGACATGTAAAATGTAATTTATAAACACTGTTTGTACGTATCTGTGCTAGGCCAATACTTTTCCTTCTAAAAAAAAAAAAGAATATATTTTATAGTTATGCCTCCGTAAGATTCACACGCGAAAATTTGGTTAGAAAAATATTAATACCTAAACTAAAATGGTTAGGTTAGTAGTTAATGATAAAGTATATTACATAAATTATAAAGCGGAAAAACTAAACAATGAGATGATCCTATAAGCTAAGACGAATGTTCGGAGATCAATTCGGAAAAATCGGAATAATTTATTAAGGATCAACCGGAAAAGTTTATATTACTTTTTGTTTTTTAATTTTAATTTTTTTTTTTTTAAAAAAAATGGAATTCTAAATTATAACGTAAAATGATTTTTAAGGTGATATTAAAATAAATAAAATAAAATAGATATATACTTATACAATGAAACTGAATTAAGGAGAGAAAATTCTAAATCATAATAAAATATTGAATATTATTTCTTACTCTTCTTAATCAAGTATCTATAAGTTATTTAATTAAAAATTTTTACAGATTCATTATTCAACAAAGCCACATGATCTTCATTTCCTGAATTATCATTTACATCCACCACCATTAAATTGTTTCCTCTTTTATTTTGAATCATGTCATCATCATCATGACTAATAGTACTACTAGTCATAGGATCACTCATTGATAATGGAATGTGAGAGATATTTCTTGAATCCTCAATATATTCTGGTTCTCCATCATTCTCACCCGATCTCCAATATAAATCAATTTGTAAATGAACATAAAGGAATATTAAGAATGCTATAGATGCATGGACCAATCCATATGAATACGCATCAAAATTATTGTCTTCAAGAACGTCAATTTGTTCTTCATTAGCGCCCATGAACAATAAACCTGATAAAATTAATAACTAATAAATTATGTTATAAAAATATTAAATATCATAATTAAATCCATACAAAAAAAAAAAAAAGTGAAGAAGAATATTTTAATTTATAACTCACGTAAGGGCATAAATGATGAAAAGGTGTTATCACTTTATCTTTTAGAAAAGAAACTTCGATAATTCTTGCAATTGAAGCACTAATTAAAGCAAAACCGAAATTCTTGTGAACACTTCTAGAAATCTCTGAGGATTGTGCATGAGAACTCATAACATAACCAGTAAACAAGATTATCAAAGCGGGAATAACACTTCGTTGTCCTTTTCTTGTTAAATATATTCCTACCAATCCACCTACCCACCACACAATTCCTAATACAGTATGCTGGTAATCTTTATGACTCCATGGCTTTTATAAAAAATATAAGTTGAAAAATATATATATATAATCAATAATCAAAAAATATTAAAAAATTCAAATATATCTATCATATTTCATAAACTTACTGTTCCGAATCTAAAGTAAAAAAAAAAAAAAGTAAAAAGAAATTTAATTAAACTACTAAATATTAAAACAATAAAATAATAATAATAATTGTTGATATGAAACTAGCCTGTGTTCGGTAAAGGTGTTGAAACAACCCCAAATACATATTGTCCAACTATCAAAATAATCCTGTGATTTTTTTTTACGATGTAAAAATTCAGAAGCGAGTCTCATAACAATGATTGATATTATTCCATATGCAATGAATGACGATCCCTAATAACAAAAAAAAAAGAAACAAAAAGAAAATTTAGCCCACTATCTTTTTAAAAATTCTTTAATCATCATTCAAAGAATTTTTTTTTTTTATGATACCATGATAGTATGGGCGAGACATTGTCCGGTATGATCGCCGTCAGCTCTGGTAAAGAATATTAAAATTTAATAAATATTTTTTTTATGAATAAATTAAATAATGGTGCATCAAATACTAAAAATATTAACCTGCACCACCCATTCATAGTAATCACACCAAAAACGATTTGGATATAACCAATAATTGGAACACATACACCAAAGACTCTATGAAATTTGACAGATATTGGTCTCAACCATCTGTTTGGTCCTCTTTCCCAATGTAATCTTAAATACACTCCAATGCCAATTTGGCTCATTAGAAAAAACACGACGTATGTAGCAAATGAACTATGTATATTTTCAGAAAATTCTCGACCACCGTGAGCATGACCAAGAAAATAACCAATGGTTGCTAAAATTGTACCAAATATCTGTATAGGTACATGCCATCGAGATTTGCTAAAACCTAATACCATCCCTTTATTAATAAAATAAAATAATTTTATTATGATTAAAAAAGTGATCTAGTTATTTTTTTTATCTTATGAAATTTATTTAGCATGATGGCATACCAGTTGGAAACAGTATTGCGAAGGCCGTAAACATAACAACAATGTGAGTCCAAAGGATTCCATCGATGGGATCTGATGATATTCCAGAAGTTGAATTTGAATGATGTTCATGTGCTTCAACATGATTATTTCTTGATATTAAAATTCCAAGAACTGATATTAATAGTAGGAAGAGATTCATGTTTCTAGGCTTGAACTGGCTTGGTTGGAACTTGCCATATCTACATTCTTTTACATTCTCATGTGATTAATGGTTAACATTATTTACCCAATAATGATTGGTGGTGATTGGTAATAGGTATAGTAAAGACTTTAATATTCATTCCCTCTATTACCTAATTTAGGGGTAGGCTAAAGCGGAGTAGAATCATGTGAGGTGATTTCGGGTTAAGGCGGAAGTGTGATCGTATCACATGTATA